CTCGGGGCGAGGTGCTAGAAGAGTGGACGGTGACGACTGGTCTGGTCGTCCTGAATCGGGGTTCGGAATACACGTGCGTGCGGCAGCGGGGTGGGTCGATAGTGGACGTCTCGTTTGCTAGCCCCTCTGTCGCCAGCCGAGTCCGCGACTGGCGTGTCGCCGCAGAGGTGGAGACGCTGTCGGACCATCGATATATCCGGTTCGACGTCTCTGCCCAGACTGCGAGCGGCCGCCATCCAACAACCCCGATTAACGACGGCCCGCGTTGGGCGCTTAAGCGCATCGACAGGGAACTACTCGAGGAAGCTGCCCTAGTTCAGTCCTGGATCTGGGAGTCGACGACGGACGGCCCCGTCGACGTCGAAGCGGTGGCGCTATGGTTTCGCGGGGCGATGACGCAGATCTGCGACGCGTCAATGCCCCGTGTCCGCCAACGGTCTGCAAAGCGCCAGGTGTACTGGTGGACCGCCGAAATCGCGCAATTGCGCATAGCGTGCGTTGCGGCTCGTCGCCGGTACACCCGATACCGGAGGCGGCGTCGACGGGATTCCGCCGAGGAGGACGCGCTGTATGAGGTGTACCGCGCGTCTAAGGAGACTCTGTGGCTGGCCATCGGCGACTCAAAGTCGCGTGCCAGGGAGGAGCTGCTGGGGTCCCTAGATCGGGATCCGTGGGGGCGCCCCTACCGTTGGATTCGGGGCAAGTTGCGTCCCTGGGCGCCTCCACTAACACAAAGGATGCAACCCCAGTTGCTAGAGTCGGTGTTATCGACTCTCTTCCCTGAGCGAGTGGGACACGTTCCCCCGGCGATGGCTTCGCCCTCAGCCACAGACTCTCCAGAAGAGGAGAGCACCGATGTCCCCGAGGTGACGCAAGCAGAAACGAGAGTGGCCGTGTCGCGACTCCAGGCTAAGAACACAGCGCCCGGACCCGACGGAGTTCCTGGTCGAGCTCTCGTCCTGGCTCTGAAGGAGCTAGAGCCCCAGCTGAGAGGGCTCTTCACGGCATGTCTCGAGCAGGGTCAGTTTCCCAGTGTTTGGAAGGAGGGGAAGCTGGTCCTGCTCAGGAAGGAGGGGCGCCCCGCGGACTCACCGTCCGCGTACCGACCCATAGTGCTGCTCGACGAGGCGGGCAAACTTTTTGAGCGTATCATCGCAGATCGCCTCGTCAGCCACTTGTACAGAGAGAGGCCGGACCTGGATGACAACCAGTTTGGTTTTCGTCGCGGGCGCTCCACCATAGACGCTATTACGCGCGTGAGGGCCCTGGCGGAGGAGACAGTATCCCGGGGTGGGGTGGTGCTGGCGGTGTCCTTAGACATCTCCAACGCTTTCAACACCCTACCCTGGAGCTGCATTCGGGAGGCGCTGAATTACCACCGCGTGCCTCCCTACCTCCGCCGCACAATAGGGGCTTACCTTGAGGAGAGATGCGTTACCTATTGGGGACGTGACGGCGCTGGTCGGCGCGTCATGTCGTGCGGTGTTCCGCAGGGATCGGTCTTGGGACCGCTCCTGTGGAACATCGGCTACGACTGGGTGCTGAGAGGTGAACTCCCGTCGGGCGCCGACTTGACGTGTTATGCGGACGACACGCTCGTCACTGCCCGGGGGAGTTCACACACGGAAGCAGCGTTGGTTGCCACGGCTGCGGTGTCACAAGTGGTGAACCGCATCCGGCGCCTGGGCCTGGAGGTGGCCCTAAATAAGTCGGAGGCCATGGTGTTCCATGGCCCTCGACGCGCGCCGCCGCCGGGTTCACACATCGTGGTCAGCGGGGCCCGGATAGCTGTCGAGTCCACCATGAAGTATCTGGGATTGGTGCTCGACAGCCGATGGGAATTCGGGCCCCACTTCCGGCAGCTGGCGCCCAAGCTGATGGGTGCAGCGGGCGCGCTATCAACGTTGCTTCCCAACTTGGGGGGCCCGAGCGCCGCCTGTAGGCGATTGTACGTGGGAATCGTGCGGTCCATGGCCCTGTATGGGGCCCCTGTGTGGGCGATGGACATGACGGCCAGCACTCTCGCCATTCTGCGTAAACCGCAGAGGGCGATGGCCGTCAGAGTCGCCCGCGGGTATCGCACGCTTTCCTACGAGGCGGCTTGCGTCCTGGCCGGATCCCCGCCCTGGGACCTAGAGGCGAAAGTACTCGCGTCATTATATCGATGGCGCGAGGAAGAGCGGGCACGGGGCTCGAGGCCGGTGCAGCGGCAGATCGCGCTGCGCCGAGAGGAGCTCCGTCAGGTCTTGGTGGCGGAATGGCGGCAAAGGCTTCTGCGCCCTACCGCCGGCCTCGCTACCGTCGAGGCGATCCGGCCAGTACTCGACGACTGGCTCGGGAGAAGGCACGGCTCCCTGGCGTTTAGGGTGACGCAGGTGCTGTCGGGGCATGGCTGCTTCGGCAAGTATCTGCGCCGCATAGACAGGGAGCCGGACGCTCGGTGCCACCACTGCGTCCACTGCGGGGAGGACACGGCGCAACACACGCTCGCCGAGTGTGTAGCTTGGGAGGAGCAGCGCCGTGTCCTCACAAATAAAGTAGGAGGCGATCTGTCGCTGCCGGCCTTAGTGCAGAAGATGGTCGGTAGCGCAGAGTCGTGGGATGCAGTGGTGTCCTTCTGCGAGGACGTGATGTCGCAGAAGGAAACTGCGGAACGGGAAAGGGAGATCTCGACTCCCTTCCCTGGCCGCAGAAGGCGCACCGGGCGCAGGAGAAGGGCGGACAACGCCCTTTTCCGGCCCCCATAAATGGGTCCAGGGGCGAGGGACTTGGGGAAGCCCCCGCCACCCCTACTCGATGGACCCGAGGCGGAGGCGCGCGCGGGTGTCGGTGCGCGCCCCTGAGGCGATACACGGGGTAGTTTAACACCTTACTACCCCGTGCAGGAGACGAGGCCTGGACGGACCGGGCCAGCACTAGTGTGGGGCTGCGGAAGAATTTGGATTCCCGCGGCCCCACGCGCACGTGTGAGGAGACACCGGGGTGGTTTTAGCCGGTAAGAGTCCGGCACGCCCCTCCGCCTTTCCCCAGGCGGAGGTAGTCCATGATGATTTCCCCCCGTTAAAAAAAAAAAAGGTTAGGTTAGGTTAGGTTAGGTTTTTTTTTTTTTTTTTTTTTTTTTAATTGCTTACATTTTAAGCTGGAGTCCCCGCGATGGATACGGGCGGCTTCGGCTTTTTAGTTACGAATTATATTTGTCTATTTTTTCTTTTGTACAATACTTATGCTGTGTATATTTTATTTACGTCGAATTTAGTTTCTTTAAATTATTTACTATGAATGTTATTAGTCTTAGGAAAGATGTTAGAGCGGATTCTTTTTTCATGAGGTCTAAGATATTATAAGGTTCTATACGTAAATTTCCGCAAAGCATCTCATGGTCGCATCGTTGTTTTCCAAACTGAGGACAACATTTTAATATATGTTCTATTGTTTGCACACTTGTGTTGTCAGAAGGACACATGTCGTTCTCAGTGATTTTGAAACGATATAAATAGCTCTTATGGTATCCGTGTCCTGTGAGTATTTGAGTTAATTCGAAGGTGATATTAGCTTTCTCTCTTAAAGCTTTAATATGTTCCAGTTTGGGCAACCACTGCTTTAGATGAGCGCCAGTTTTTGAACTCGAGTATTCCAATTCATGTGCTTGTTCAGTGTCCTGTTTCCGTAGCCGTTTATCGTATGAGATAGGGAAGTTATCATAGTCTGGAGTTTTGTTAAGTGTCGCTGCTTTCTTTGCCTCCGTGTCCGCTCTTTCGTTCCCCAGTAATCCATGATGAGCTTTGATCCAGTATAATTCTATTCTTCCTGTATTTCTTAGTATTTTTATGCTTCGGTGTATATTGTTTATAATCGGATGGGTGCTGCTGCGGTTTGCTATTTCTAGGAGAGCGGACATGGAGTCAGAGAAAATGCAAACGTCTGTCAGTCTCATTTTTATGCATTCTTTACATGCCCTTTCGATCGCTAAGCATTCGGCCTGGAAAACAGTACAACTGCTATGTAATTTAAGGCGTTTTACGGTTTCTTTTCCATCAGGAAAATATATAACGTATGCAGCGCCTACTGCTTCATTGTGTTTGCTACCGTCCGTATATATTTTAACACTATTAGTCGTACAATTTTCTTTTAGGTCTTCTAAGTTTGTTATTTTTTGTATAGTTATTGTAACACGTTCCGCGGGGTGCAATAATTTTTTAGGAGGTATTCTTTTGTTCAAGGTTATGTCGTCCGGTAAATATTTACTTATTCCATTTATTTTCGTTCGTTCGTTGTCAGCTATTTCTTTTACTTTAAGGTGTAACGGTGTCAGGTCAGCTAATGCAATGGCTGCAGTTGTAGGAAGTGTGCGGAATCCTCTTATTATTTTAATTGCAAATCTCCTCTGTAGACTAAGTAAGGCTTTTGTAACTGATTTGTATTTTGTTGCGCTATCCCATATCTCAGCAGCGTAAGTTATGATTGGCTCTATGACTTGCTTGTAAATGACTGACACATTTTCGGATTTAACTCCCCATGTAGGTCGAATGATTAGACTTAGTTTTTTGAAAATTCTTTGCGCTTTATTTATTACATATTTGCAGTGGTTGATGAATTTAAAATGTTGATCTATTATAACGCCGAGTAATTTAACTTGTTCTGTGAATTGTAAAAGGTTATTGTTCATAGTGATTTTAGCGGTTTTTGCTTTTGGTGTGCAAGTTATCATTTGAGTTTTCTGGTGTCCAAATCTTAGATTGTTCCTTAGTCCCCATGTGTATATTTCGTGTAATATATGATTTGCAATATTTTCCAGCTCAGTTACATCTTTACCAGCGCAAATTAAAAATACATCATCTGCATAGGCTTGGATGTGGTTGCCAGTGGGTAGGGTTATGTCTAGTAAATCGTCCATTATAATATTCCAGAAGATGGGTCCAAGAACCGATCCTTGGATGCATCCTCTAGTTTGTCCTCTAGATACAGTTGCGTCTGAATAATTTAATTTAATTTTTCGATTTTCAATATAACTTTGAATAATTCTGTACAGGTTTCTTGGGCATTTTAGTTTTTTTTAATCTATATAGGAGTGCTGGCCACCATGCATGATTGAAAGCGCCTTCTATGTCGAGTGAGATTGCGGCTACTAGTTTATTTTGTGCCTTTGCTTGCTTCATATGGTTTATTGCATCTCGTAATGCATCCGTAGTGGTCTTTTGTTCTTTAAATCCGTATTGTCTATCATTTGCTGTATTATTAATGTACATGTAATATGATAATCTTTTAGCTATTAACTTTTCTAAGAGTTTGCCAAAAACATTGATAAGTCCAATGGGTCTGTATGATGATATGTCGTTGTAATCTTGTTTATTTGGCTTGGGGATTGTTTTTATAAAAGCTGTTTTCCAGGAGGTAGGAAAGTGTGAAAGATGCATGCACCTGTTGAAGAGGTTAGTGACTTGTGTGGGATACGTTTCAATAAAGTGCTGACATATGTCAGATGTGAGATGGTCTGGTCCAGGTGCTTTTTTGTGATTCATTGATTTGATCGCTTCCATGATTTCGTCTATTATAAAATCTGAATGACTTTATGTTTTATTTATGAATTTAAGACTAAAAAAGAAGGAAAAATGTGAAAATGAATTATATAACGGTGAAAATATACTAAGAAAACTATAAAGATATACGGAGGGCAGTTAATTACACTATTTAAAGAAAATTTCAACGAAAAAGATCAATATTCAGCAAAGATATTAGCAAATTTGTATTGCAAGGCGCCACTCTCCCTACCCTCCGCAGCCGAATATTGGTTGGCGGCGGAGCCATAGACCAGATCCGCCGCTGGGGTCAGGAAGGCTGGTGCTACTGAGTGCTAGTTTTCCTGGCCCCATGGCCTTCGCGCATCGGACATGGGGGCGTCCGTTGCGCATGTGAAATTGGAGGCCGAGGAGGAGGGCGCGCCATGTGTTCTGGTGCGCCTTACCGGAGAGGGAGATGGGGGAGGAGTAGTCCTCTCCCGAGGAGGGGCCGCCTTGGAGTGGCCAGCGCAGGTGGGGCCGCGGATGTGTGCGAAAGCGTTCCCGTGGCCCTGCCAATATGCGACGAGGTGGAACACCATGGGGTTTTAGTCGGTGCGAGTCCGACATAACCCGTCCTTGCCCCCGCGAGGCGGGTATGCGTAGGCATTTCCCCATGTAAAAAAAAAAAAAAAAAAAGGTTAGGTTAGGTTAGGTTAGGTTAGGTTCCCCCCCGAACGGGTTCCCGCCTTGTCGTGGCGGGGGGGCTTAGTAGCCGTGGCTTGGTCAACCACGGTGAACGAAGAGGAACTCCTTGGCTGGCCCGAGGTGTAGGGCCGGCCCGAGGTGGCCTTGGGAAGCCCACTTCGGATGTGTGTCGGGGGGCTGTGGTGAGAGGGGAGTCCGCAACCCTCTACCGCTGCAGCCGAGGTGGAGTCGCGGAGGAAGAGGAGTGTTGGTATGGCGATGCGCCACTCGCCCTATCCTCCGCGACTCAGACGGGGCCGCACCGTTGAATGATGCGGTGGTGGTGGGGCTGCGGGGGGAGAGGAGTGTCGGTATTGCGAGGCGCCGCTCTCGCTACCCTCCGCAGCCGAATCTTGGTTGGCGGCGGAGCCATAGACCAGATCCGCCGCTGGGGTCGGGAAGGCTGGTGCTTCTTAGTGCTAGTTTTTCCTGGCCCCATGGCCTTCGCGCAGCGGACACGGGGGCGTCTGTTGCGCATATGAAATTGGAGGCCGAGGAGGAGGGCGCGCCATGTGTTCTGGTGCGCCTTACCGGAGAAGGAGATGGGGGAGGAGTGGTCCTCTCCCGAGGAGGGGCCGCCATGGGGTGGCCGGCGCAGGTGGGGCCGCGGAAGTGTGCGAAAGCGTTCCCGTGGCCCTGCCAATATGCGACGAGGGTGGAACACCATGGGGTTTTAGTCGGTGCGAGTCCGACATAACCCGTCCTTGCCCCCGCGAGGCGGGAATGCGTAGGCATTTCCCCATGTAAAAAAAAAAAAAAGGTTAGGTTAGGTTAGGTTAGGTTAGGTTAGGTTCCCGTGTGGAGTTGCCAGAGCTCCCATCGGGCGCGTCCCCAGGTGGCGGATAGGGGAACGCCACTCAGATATGGGTGGTAGCGGGAAACCGTCGCGGACCAAAACTGGCTGGGTGAGGGCTTTTTTGCATAGCGGAGGGCCTATTAGTTGCTTCCTGTATCCTCTCCCTTGAGAGGAACAGAGAATGTGACATGCGCGGTGAGGTGCCAGGTGCACTCGGCTTTTGCCGACGCCGGGCAACCCGTAATCGCGGGATTTTCAGGGACCACACCCTGTAAAAAAGGAAACTGAATGGGCTCAGTGTTCCCTAACCCGGTCTCTGGGCAGGCATGAGAAGAACCCGCATCGACTCTGCCACCATTCGAACCTCGGAATCCCTCTGGCGTGTCGTGGATCACGTCTCGCGGCGCCTTAGGGGCCGAGGGCTCTTGGCTTAACCGCCTGGAGTCGCGAGGATGATAACCTCTTTAAAAAATCACCCGAAGCTCAAGCGTGGCACGCCGTGAGGAGCTGCATGGCTGATGGGTAAATGTTCAGTCGTTAGCGTTGCCCCCGTCGGGGTACCGGCCGACACCCTTGACGGGTTACGCATAGGCTTATCCGGGCACAGGAGGCACTGCTCGGATGGACTGCTATTTCCTCCACACTCGTGGGAAAAAACATGGAAATATATAAAAACATTAAAAACGTAGAGGTAGAAAATCAGGCAGGATCTGATACTGGAAGCGGCGGAAATCGATCGCGTGGGACGTCTTCCGCTAGGAAACGTCCAGTGTGCCGATTGTCAGACGAGGAAGGTCTGCCGGCCCCCAAGTTGCCGACTTCGGGGAGGGGTCGGCAGGCATCTAGAGGGGCGAGTGCTTCGCAGCCGCGGAGGGATAAGCACGGACGGTTCGTGTGCTCCAATACCTCGGCGGCTAGTGAAGCAGATAGTGACATGGGGTTCACTACGGAGGACCCTGGCGATGGCGGTGAAAGCTGTGCCTCGCTGGGGAGCTCAAAGGCGGAGCTCAATGCCGCCAAGAGGGAGCAGCGCAAAGCCGTCGCGGCCGACGAAGTGTCGGAAATGGCCCGACGTGCTCGCGAGCGACGAGCTGCTCTTGCGGCGGAAGGGGGTGAGCCATCTGCGGTGGCCTTAAGCCAGCTGGCTCTGGATGGGGTGGACTTAGTCCTGAAGGTTGCCACCAAGTCCGGCAGCCTGAAGGGCACGTTCACCCGTGGCTTAAAGGAGGCTGCCGCGGATATCAGGGAGGCGGTTGGCATCCTCCTCAACAGGACGGCCTCTGACGAGGTCGCAAAGTTACAGGAGGAAAACAGCCGCCTCAGAAATGACTTGGAGGACCTCCGGCGGCAAGTTGCTGCGCTGAGCGAGCAGCAGCAGCAACGCACGTCCAGCGATGCCGCACCTGTAGTGGACCCGACTCCCGCACTGCGACCGGCAAGCCCTCGTACCGACGAAGAGGTCGAGCGCATTGTCCGGCTCTGCATGCTCCAGTGCGGGAGCATGGTTAACGCTCGGCTGGAGGCAATTTCTCGGCATCTCACGGTGGAAATCCTCCGTCCGCCTTTAGCGGCTGACACGCGGAGGACTGAGGAGCCGCCGAGACTTGCGCCTCAAAAGGGGAAGCCCGCGGAGGGTAACAAAAAGCCCGCGGAGGGAGCTCCTCCGAGCAACCAGCCCACGACTGCCGGGTCTAAGGGTGAGACCTGGGCGAAAGTCGTGGGCCGCAAGAAGGCCCGCAAAGCCGCCAAGAAGGCCGCAGCAGCCACATGTGCCCCAGGGGGAACCGCAAAGACGGCTCCTAAACCTGCACAGCGGACTGCCAAAGGCGGTCGCAAGAGACTGGCTGTACATGTTCCGCGGTCCAACGCTGTGACAATAACGTTGCAGCCTGGAGCTGTGGAGCGTGGCGTGACGTACCAGTCGGTCATCGCCGAGGCCAAGGCCAAGATCAAATTATCTGATCTTGGCCTTCAGTCCGTCACCCTCAGGCAGGCTGCCACGGGTGCACGACTGTTCGAGGTGGCTGGCACTGTGAGCGGCAGTGCCGAAAAGGCGACTCAGACGGGGCCGCACCGTCGAATGATGCGGTGGTGGTGGGGCTGCGGGGGGAGAGGAGTGTCTGTATTGCGAGGCGCCGCTCTCCCTACCCTCCGCAGCCGAATCTTGGTTGGCGGCGGAGCCATATACCAGATCCGCCGCTGGGGTCGGGAAGGCTGGTGCTTCTTAGTGCTAGTTTTTCCTGGCCCCATGGCCTTCGCGCATCGGACACGGGGGCGTCTGTTGCGCATATGAAAGTGGAGGCCGAGGAGGAGGGCGCGCCATGTGTTCTGGTGCGCCTTACCGGAGAAGGAGATGGGGGAGGAGTGGTCCTCTCCCGAGGAGGGGCCGCCATGGGGTGGCCGGCGCAGGTGGGGCCGCGGAAGTGTGCGAAAGCGTTCCCGTGGCCCTGCCAATATGCGACGAGGGTGGAACACCATGGGGTTTTAGTCGGTGCGAGACCGACATAACCCGTTCTTGCCCCCGCGAGGCGGGTATGCGTAGGCATTTCCCCATGACAAAAAAAAAAAAAAAAAAAAAGGTTAGGTTAGGTTAGGTTAGGTTCCCCCCCGAACGGGTTCCCGCCTTGTCGTGGCGGGGGGGCTTAGTAGCCGTGGCTTGGTCAACCACGGTGAACAAAGAGGAACCCCTTGGCTGGCCCGAGGTGTAGGGCCGGCCTGAGGTGGCCACTCCGAGTGGGCTTGGGAAGCCCACTTCGGATGTGTGTCGGGGGGCTGCGGTGAGAGGGGAGTCCGCACCCTCTACCGCTGCAGCCGAGGTGGAGTCGCGGAGGAAGAGGAGTGTTGGTATGGCGATGCGCCACTCGCCCTATCCTCCGCGATTCAGACGGGGCCGCACCGTTTATTGATGCGGTGGTGGTGGGGCTGCGGGGGGAGAGGAGTGCCGGTATTGCGAGGCGCCGCTCTCCCTGCCCTCCGCAGCCGAATCTTGGTTGGCGGCGGAGCCATAGACCAGATCCGCCGCTGGGGTCAGGAAGGCTGGTGCATCTGAGTGCTAGTTTTTCCTGGCCCCATGGCCTTCGCGCATCGGACGCGGGGGCGTCCGTTGCGCATGTGAAATTGGAGGCCGAGGAGGAGGGCGCGCCATGTGTTCTGGTGCGCCTTGCCTGAGAGGGAGATGGGGGAGGAGTAGTCCTCTCCCGAGGAGGGGCCGCCATGGGGCGGCCAGCGCAGGTGGGGCCGCGGATGTGTGCGAAAGCGTTCCCGTGGCCCTACCAATATGCGACGAGGGTGGAACACCATGGGGTTTTAGTCGGTGCGAGTCCGACATAACCCGTCCTTGCCCCCGCGAGGCGGGTATGCGTAGGCATTTCCCCATGTAAAAAAAAAAAAAAAAAAAGGTTAGGTTAGGTTAGGTTAGGTTCCCCCCTGAACGGGTTCCCGCCTTGTCGTGGCGGGGGGGCTTAGTAGCCGTGGCTTGGTCACCCGCGGTGAACTAAGA